ACGCCAAAACCACACCATCAGCCGGCCTAGCTCAGTCGGTAGAGCGCAAGGCTCTTAACCACCTAAAATGTGGGAAACCTTGTGGTCGTGGGTTCGAGCCCCACGGCCGGCGGCAAGTTTTTCTCCTGCTCAATGTGTTGCCAAGCCACCACATTTGCAGCCTGAAAGAACTGCCTTTACCTGGTTTTGTACTACTTGCTCACTTAGCAACTGCTTTCCGAACAAGGTCATGGGTTCGAGCCCCACGGCCGGCGGCAAGTTTTCTCCTGCTCAATGTGTTGCCACCACATTTGCAGCCTGAAGGAACTGCATCTGCCTGGTTTCGTATTGCTTGCTCATGTAGCAACCACTTTCCCAATCAGGAACAGATTTCTTTATCAGCAACCAGTTTCCTAATTGCCGATCCGTTTCCCCATTGCGTGATGGGTTTCCCAATGAGCAACGGCCCCTCCCGATTGGGAGCGTCTGTGTCCACCTATCCGCACCAGCAAGGTGCCAGCTTCCAAAGAGGAATTACAAGGGAGGGACCACACCAGGAAGGTGCCAACTGCCATAGAGGAATTAAAATCGGGGACAAAAAGGAGTAAAGGGAGAGCAGGATGGAGGGAGGCACCAGTATGGGCGGAGGTGCACAGGGAGAGGGCCAGGACGACGTCGGGGCGTCGTCGGGGATGGTGAACGCTTGCCTTTTGGGGGAAATTTTTGGGCCCCACAGGCCACAAACTGTAATTATTGAGGGTGAAACTAGCAGTTGGATAGACAGTCATTATTATTAGAGACCCTATTCCTTGAACCCAATTTTACACTGAAGAAAAATTGTAAAGAATAACAGAATCAGGAATATAAAAGCAAGGGGGGGGGAAAACAAGGAATACAGAGAAAAGGCACTGATCTTTTCTTCTTTCTTTTTTCTTGTTCTGTTTTGGAAAGGCCCCAAAAAGGCACTGATCTTGGTATCATTATGTTTATGAAATGCTGTTTGTGCTCGTCGCTCTCATGATGGGCTTCAACAATTATGTAGCTGCATGCCATTGTAATCTCTACCAGCCGGCCTAGCTCAGTTGGTAGAGCGCAAGGCTCTTAACCACCAAATGTGGGAAACCTTGTGGTCGTGGGTTCGAGCCCCACGGCCGGCGGTAAGCTTTTCTCATGCTCGATGTGTTTGCCTCTACATTTGCAGCCTGAAGGAATTTGCCATTCAGCAACCACCTGTTTCTGGGCCTACTTTTCTGAATGTATCT